CCGGAAGTACACTGCCACTGCGCCCGTCGCTCTGAGACATAACTTGACAAGTCCCATGTCCCTGTAATTTCACCAGCACCTTTAACCTGTTATGGGCAGGCGTGTAGCTTACCATCAGGCACACGACTTGTTCGTCCCGTTACTTAATGTCATAAAAAAAAAAAAAAAAAAAAAAAAAAAACCTTCAAAATCGAAACATATAATTCCTAATGCTTGGCGGCAGAAAGAGGTAAGGTGGAAGTACTTCCCTGGAGAATCTCTTTCAGAAGGAGTTCTACTGGTAACCATCAATTTGACCTCGTTATCTCTTGAAACCTCATACATCCTAAGTGTCACATAGGTACTCTTGTTCATTTACCACTGAATGAATCTTTGTTGTACATCGATTCCCGGGCCGGGAAAAATATTTGTATGGCTTACATTTATTTCTCTCGTGACTTTGGGTGTAATTTGTGGTTGTCTATGTGTGTGTCCATGGCACCCGCGACACAGGGTTTTCCTTCTGCGGGGCTATGTTGAGTGTGTGCGTTATTATTATTTTATTCATCATCGTCGTCGTCGTCGTTGTCGTCATCGTCGTTGTCGTCGGGTGTTAGTAATTATTCAGGAGATGGCGAAACTTCGTATTTATTTTAAATTACTTATCAAGGGTGTTAATTTGAATGCATTACTTTAAGAATAGGTAAAAGCCTTTGTGTGTATATGAAGGAAAGTCATATTATAATCAGCCTGTAAAATTTGTATAATATAATACAGGGGACTATAATATATACTAAAAAAGTATAATTTTACTTACATAATATTAACAACCTAACACAAGAAGACAACGGACTTTAACAATACCAATTTTATTATTATTTTATTATAAAAATGTTGTGCAAATTATATCTATTTGCCAAGTTTATTCAAATCGGTCAGCAGAAAATGGGAGATCCATTGAACCGGATTCATTTCCTAATTTAGAGGTGTACCTACCCTGTTTCTAACAAAAAAAAACTGGTTCTCAAATGTCATCTTTCAAAAGAGTTATAGTTATTTTTATAATTTATTTATTTACCTTCTGGCCGCAAACTCGATCATTTGTCGTCGACCGTCACGCCACTCGCCGCGTGGCGACAAAGCCACCGTCACGTCAATCTCGAGGCGAAACCGCGGTCATTGTCAATGTTGCCCAGCGAATCGAAATAGATGTCGCGGTTTATTGCCAGACTGTTCCTTTCCGTGATTCGACTTCAAGGTTTTTTTATTTATTAATTTATTGGTTCATTAATAGTTATTTATTACATTACACATTAATATCGTACATACTTACAATGTAATGAAAACATTATCCAACACCAAGTAAAGCGGTGTGTAACTTGTAAAAGGATAATTTTAGGCTATTTTTCTCTACCTAATTTCAATGGCCATATTTAAGTATTCGAGTATTGATTATCGTGAAATATTAAATAATATTTCAAGATACTACACTCGAATATTAAATACTTTATGATAACTTTCTAGAATATTAAAAAAAAAAATTGGCACCGAGAGTAGGAAGAGAAAACTAAACTGAAAATTACCCAAAAACACATGAAAACCACATAATTTTTTTTAGCTAGAAAACCATTAAATATAGTTTTAGTTTACACTCTTAAACTTAAACCGATTTGTATATGTGTTGCAACTCCTCTAACTATAATACAAACACAACAAAAAACAAAAGAGAAAATAGACAAATAAAAACTTTAAAACATCTTGGATATCTACAATTGGAAATGACTTTTTTTTATCAAAATCACACATATTTGTGTTTTCAAACAAACAAGTTTTTTTAGCAGTAGAGCTCCTTGTAAAAGAGTTCGTCCAGGGAAGTACTGCCAGTTCACCTATTTCTGCAGCCAAGCAGTAATGTGACCAATACAGTGTTCCGGTTTTGAAGGGTAAGGGTGCTGGTGAAGTTACAGGTATTATAGAACTTGTCAACTAGTGTCTCAGGATGACGAGTGCAGTTGAAGTATTCCTCAGATCTTTGCGATTTAAAGCTCTGAGTGGCACTGCAACTGGTTTGGATAGGCGTGTGTTCATCCCGTCACTTGATATCATAAAAAAACCAAAGGTTTCGGGCTTTGTACAAATCCGAAAATAGTTTCTTTTACATTGTGTAGGAATCGCAAAAACTCAATAATCTCAGTATAGAGTACTGTAGTCTAGGCTCTACTCTATGAGTAGAATCACTGGCTGAATGAATAGTTTTGTTATTAGAATGTGTTTTGAAAAATGAATTAAGAAAAGAATAGAGCATCTTGATAACGAAATATAACCCAACGCCGAAAGCATGTAAAAAAGTGCAATAAAGTATATTTTGAAGATTATTCCAGTTTAAATTCATAAATTACCTCTCGCTACGCAACCCAAGCTACGCCCCAGCTACAAATGGTGGAAACCATTTGTAACTGGGGCTTCGCCGGTTTACAAATGATTGAGCCACGAATTACAATGTGAAGAGATAATATAACTCAAGCCTGCAACGTCTATTTGCCAAGTTTTATTGTAATCGGTTACCGGAAAGTGCACGAAACCGGATTCATCACCTAGTTTGCCACAAAAGATGTAGAATATTTTAAATATGTGTGTTAGGTTCATCTTCGGACTACGTAAATTTGACCATGTCTCCCAATTTCGCGCACAAATTAAATGGCTGCCCATCCATCGGCGTAGAGATCTTCATATTCTTTCACTTCTCTATTCAATTCTGTTCTATCCCTTTACGCCTTCTTATCTTAAAGATCGCTTTACTTTCCACTCTTCTACACTCTGTCGTCCCCTTCGCTCCTCTGATACTCTCTTACTTAACTTGCCCTCTCATACCTCTAACTTTTATTCCAACTCTTTTACCATTTCTGCGATCAGATTGTGGAATTCTCTCCCTGAATCGATTCGACGATCCCCTTCTCTTGATTCCTTCAAACAACGTGTCAAGGATCACTTCCTCAACTCCTAAATTTCGTCTGTCCTCTACTATCCTTTCATTTATTTCCTACATTTGTACTTCATTTTTCTTTTTCTATTAAAAGTATATAAGCATTTAATATTATTGTGTATTTATTGTTATGTATGTATTAATAATATTATTGTTATTTGTATGTATATGTATATTAATCTATGGATATGTATATATTTTTATTATTACTTATTATGTAGTGTACTTATGATGATATTCTTTGGTTGCACCCCTTTTGCATATCCGAAATGTCTATCCTAAGGTTGCCTGGAAGAAATTGCTACATAGCAATAAGGCCGCCTGTTGCACATTGACTTGCTACTACTATTATACTTAAGCTATTGTATTGTATTTTAATTGTAATTTTATGTGCAATAAAGAATATTTCATTCATTCATTCATTCATTCAATATTTTCTTCAAATTTAAATGGGAATACTGAGCTACCCTCTTTCCAACAAAAAAGAATCATCATAATCTGTCCACAAATGCCGGTCAAAGTTACCGCGTAACATACATACAAAAAATATAGTCAATTTGAGCACCTCCTCGTTTTTCTGAAGTCGGTTAAAAATATAAATACAAAAGGACAAGTATCCTGGATCGTATCAAACTTAAACGTTTTTGAATTCAGGAAGCAACGTTTTATCAACAAGCTTCGGTTTGATTATTTTATTAAGGGACAGATTTGTAAAGGTGACTGTACTCTTGGAAACAAACCCTCGTCCACGACCGCATGACCCCTATAGAAATCCATACAAAATATACATACATGAATACATACTCAGTAGCAGTAGAGCTTCTTGAGTACGAGGAGTATTACCACCACGCTATAACATTAAAACTGTATACGTATTATATATTTAAAATGTTGCGTTACCAATTGGTAACGCTGTTATTTGTTAATTAACAATTTGAAAATGAACTGCTAGGAGTACAATAGATATACGTGGTCACCACCTAGTTAGAATACCGCAAAAAGAAGTTTCAGTTGATAAAAAATATATCTCTATATAGGTATTTTTCACAGATCACATAAATACTGTATTTTTATATGTATTAATAATGTTCCCGACATAAGCCTTGGTAACCTAATGGTTTGACCTTGCGGAGTTTTTCGGAATTCCGGACAAAAAATAAAAACCAATAGTTAAAGATAGAAATAGACCACAGAATTGTAAGAGCCTATACACACGGCTTGTTTTATACGCGCCGACAACGCGCGTTGCACGTACGGTATACGCGCAGACGCGCTGTAGTGAATCGATTCAAACGTGCGGAAACATCGCGTTGCAAGCAAGGAGCCCATGTCCACTGGTTACATTTACAATTTCAAGTAGTTGCTTCATTTAAAAAAAACTGACCAAAATTAACAAACAAAAAAAATAAAAATGTTTATTTAAAATACAGTCGTGTCGACAAACTGAGGTTTTACACCTATTAAGTAATAAATACATGTGTCGGCCAGCCACTGGTGGGGGCGCGGACGAGTACAATAGCGTACTCGTACCTCCACCTACCTACAGCGGAGTGGAGGAACACTTAGGGGCTTAGTGCGGTCGGATTGCTTCCCTGCAGGGTTCAGCCCAGTCCCACATATGCTATGCCCCCGCGGGGCCGAGGTATCTGTATGCAGATTCCCCCGGATTAACAAAAAAAACGCAGACATACTTTTAATAGAACTGAATTTAAACACAGACAGAAAACTAAAATTTAAAGTAGTTCAAACAAAACTAAAATTGAAACAATCTTTTATCAAAATGTGCGATACATAAATACGCCGCGTGCGTAGGCTCTAAGAACAGACGCTTGTCGTTTTTTCCACAAAACATAGAAATGATACTAAAAAAGAGGCTGTATGGTAGAACCTTTGCCTACTCAAATAAATGGGTGAAAACTAAAAATCACGTTATTGTCATTGTCTTCCAAATTACCAGTAAATACATATTAAATTGAAAGCGTTTAAAATCAAATTAGAATACTTAATGTAACAAAACAAATAATCGAAAAAATATATTGTAAATTGAATATAAATGGCTAAAAAATTCCCATGTGGCGTATGCGATGAAGTACCAGAAACAAAACCTTGTGAGGAGAATGCCAATCTTTATTCTGAATGGAACTCCTTGGAATGTATAGATACAGAAGTTGTCGAACCCAATTGCGACTTCTGTGAATATGTAGGTACAAATTCACCAGAAACCACACCTGGAGCTGCGATACCTGACACTGACTGACTGGAGATACACCTCCACCCTCAAATGTGGAAGTGTGGAACCCCATGTGGTCTCCGTATTACCATTGGCGGCACCGACAGATGTTGCAGCTCCTACAAGTCTAATTTCCAGTCTAAACCAAGTATGATAATAAGTTTATAGTATGCAGTTTTATGAGTGAATACTGAAAGAAACCATTAAAAGATTAGAGACAGTCTGTAGTCGACGCCATCACTGCCGCCTTGATTGAATGAATGAAATATTCTTTATTGCACACAAAATTAATGTGACAACACAAACAATAACTTGCTTAAGTATACTTATGAATATAGTAAGTTGATGTACAACAGCGGTTTAACGCTGTGTAGCAATTTCTTCCAGGCCAGCTTAGAACAGGATTGCTTGATTTGAAACGAATTTAAAAATCAGTTAATAAACGACTTTTAGTGAACGAGAAGAATGCAGTCAGAAAGTTTTTTTTTTTTTAATTTATTAAGGCTTTGGCAAAGCCATCAGCCTAAACATGAAGTTTAAATATGTTTCTGTAAATATGGCTGCCACAAAGAGGATAGGCAATTTGAGGCGGCGTGCTTGGATTGACTCGGGATTCCTTAAAACGGGCCGGTACGGGTATTTTATTTCGAGATTCGTATAATTTCGCGTTTTAATCTTCGATTAAGGCACAATAGCACTATCCTATTCCACTTTAAACTAGATTTCACAAAATAATTGAAAGTCAAAATAAAAACGACACTTTTCCCTCCAAAAGGTCCAGAGCGAAATCCAGTCAGAAAGTGTCGTGGTGTGTTTTTTTTTGACATAGATAAATATACTTTCACGCCCGTCTGAAATACAATATATTTAAACACAAATATATGTACTTACTTAAAAGCAGTTAAAAAATCATTAACAATATTTATATTTAAAGAACAACGTCATTAACTTTGCGATCACATATTACCCAATACTGTTTTTTGTGCATCAAGTCCTTTTATGTTCGTCTAGATTTAGAATGTAAAGTGACCGGACGAACAAGTCGTGCGCCTGGTGGTAAGCGGCACGCCTGTTCATAACAATTTTAGTGTCACTCAGATCGCAAAGATCTGACGGGCACTACCACTGCGCCCGTCACCCTGAGACATATGTTGACAAGTCCCGTGTGCCTGTAATTTTACCAGCACCCTTACGCTGCTGTAAAGCTGTGGGTGGCATTGCAACTGTTATGGACAGGGGTGTCGTTTACCATCAGGCGCACGGCTTGTTCGTCCCGTTACTTAGCATTAGGCGATTCCGTGTGAATAAATGTGATATGTCCCAAAGAATTCATTTGAAGTCATTACGTTACATCGAGCAAGTTTATAAAATCACGCATTCATATCAAATATAACCAATTATTATTATATTCATATTATAACCATTGTTTATTACAAATATTACATTTCTGTATAAAAAAGTTTATAGACATAATGGGAGTCCGCAAAGTAGAACATTTCTTTCAATATACCTTTATATTTTTTGCTAATTTAGGTTGAACTCTCGATTCTATACATTTGCATGTATCCCGTGGTTAAGTTTCATTGGTATTTCGTCTCGGCTAGAGGAGCCCCGGCCAACCTAAATATTCATGTCCGCATGTACTACAACTTGATGAATTAACATAAATTAAAAAAATATTTAGATACGACGTAGGTCCCTATTATAAGCATTGTCTAATTCGAAAGTAAGCCGCTCATAGTGAATAGGAATCCTATTTCATAAAATCCGATCCAAAATCTTGAAATTCATGAATGAGTTTCCTAAATGTGACGATGTGATATTTCAAACTAAACCCAAAGTTTCCTTTCGATTATCATGGTTAGGGAGCTGACGTAAGTAGCTGCAACCAACCCCCAAGTAAAAACAAACTTACCTCTCGCCCTATAGCCTGAAGCTATTACAAGGGCATTAAAGAGAGTTGTTGTGTAATTTACGATAAATTTTAACCTCAGGAGCAACGTGATTAATTTTGAGAAATTATTAATTCTGCGAAGTTTACTCGTAATAGAATAGAATACCATAAGCACTATATCAACAGAAAACTAAATTATGATCATTTAAATATTCAAAAATTTGATTATAATTAAAAGATTATAAGCAAAAATATATCGACCTCGATAATATACCTCGACACATCACCAGCTACATTGGAGATTTTTGAATTTTAAATATACGCTCTTTGTAATAACTTTTTGTGTAACTTTAAAAAAGTGACAAAGCATTTCTGATAGGTGGAGGTGTATTGTTCCAGCATTTCGAGACAGTATAGCGAAAAACTAGCTCGAAATGCCGCTGTTCCGTGTCGAGGGCATACAAGGCGAGATGCATGTCTAACATGCATGGTTGAAAAAAGTAGTTTGTCATGTAGATACGATGGTTGCTTGGTCTTTATTATTCCAAATAACAAAGAAGCATAATGCAATTCTCGGCGGGCTTCCTTTTTAGTCGCATTATTTAAAAACGGTGTGACATGTGCCCGACGTGGAACGGGAAAACAAAACCTAATTTGCTAGATAAGATTTTTCGTGTGAGCCAGCAAGCAGCCTAAAAACAGTGTCTGTGTAATATCAGAATAGAACGAATAAATGATAACTCATTTTTCAATAATTGTATTCACCTTTAACACTTACATTCCCCTTCGCTTCAGATAGTCCGAATTTATTTCCACTGACGTTCAGGTCTGTACACTCTAGCAACAAAACCCCGTAACAACTCGGTCTATCCTTTGCTTTACAAACTTTTCAGTAGTTCTTATCACTACGTCAATTATTACTTTATATCATAGTAATTGATCTGTTATTGCCTACGTCATATAAATTGAAATATCCAAGATTATTTGTAATTAAAAATACTAAGACTGCTAACAGATTGACTGCATATTTGCAGTTAATGCGTGAAATCGAAATCGGCATAAAGTTGATAACGACTGCACGCATTAACTGCATGCGGTCTATCTCGACTTCATGCAGTTAATGCGTCAAGTCGTTATCCGAGACTGCATGAAGTTGATAATGTGAAAAATGACTTTATGTAGTTAATGCGTGGAGTCGAGATCTACGTTATCAATTCATGCAGTCGAGGTCTCGGCTGTTAGCAGCTTAACAACCTCGCAATATTAAGTAACATCATAAACAACATCTTTTGTTCCTTGACTTTCACGTTCGTAAAAAAATAAAAATATTTAAATAGATCGCTCTAAAGATAACAACAAAAAGCGCTAGAGCGTAAATTCCAAAACCAAACCAGTTCGATTCAAAGCGGGGGTGCGGGTCGTCAGTAATAACGCTTCCGTGTTGAACTTACACTACCAAATACAGGTCTAAAAGGAGACAAATGGTAGAACAAAAACTTAAATGATTACAAAAGCTTATAAAACTTAAAAAGTTTTTTTTGGGTAAATTTATTATGTTTTGTAAAACAGCATGGAACAAAAATTGTTGTTTAAAATAAAATGTTTTTTCATAAAGGTCAGACCTTGAATAGCCCTAAATTGTTTTCAGAAGACAGAAGATTTTCTGGTGTACCGCTAAATTTTTATATACATATACAATGTTATGATTTCCAGGCCCCAATCGACACTGCTAATAAGCCCATAATATGGGTTTTGGGCGGGCCTGGCTCCGGCAAGGGTACGCAATGCGACAAGATCATCGCCAAGTACGGATTCACGCATCTGTCCACCGGTGACCTGCTCAGGGCTGAAATCAAGAGTGGATCTGACCGAGCCAAGCAGCTGTCGGGTATATTAGAGCGAGGTAATTTTTTTCTTTCTTCTTCACAAGTGGAGATTTTGGGCCATAGTCCGCCACACTGTCCCGGTGCAGACAGGAGACTTCATGAGTTTTCCTATAGTTGTTTTATACCTACCTATAAAGGTTACAATCTTCCTACAGTCGTGAAATAAAGACGCTGAATGTCTATACTGACAGCGTATGACACTCTACTGAGAGCATATTACGGTATGACACTCTACTGAGAGCGTATTACTGTGTATCCAATACTCAATTATGGAGTCATCCTTTGGGGTGTGTGAACGTCAACTCTACATTTGTCCTTCAAAAGAGGTGTATTCGTATAATATATAATAAAGACTTTATGACGTCAGCCAGACCTTTGTTTAGACATAATAACATTTTAACGTTGACAGGTATATATATTTTGAATTTATGTTTGTTTGTACGCAATAATAAGGGTTATTTCACTCAAAAATTGACAGTACAAAACTATAATCTACGATCGCGGCTTAACTTACTGCAACCAATAACTACCTCAGATATTTGCTTTGTAAGTATTTACTCTACCGCCATTCGTGTGTGTGTGTGTGTTACTTGCCAAATGACATAAAAATGTTAGATAGTACGACTTTTGACAAAACTTTAAAGATGTGGCTAATTAAAAAATGTTTTTACAGATGAAATTATTTTTTTGATTATAAGCAATGTGAATAAATATTAATAAAATCAAATTAACGTAATAATAAATTAATATGCTTTATGTACAAGTTTATTTTAATTTCATCATTAATTTGTACTTTAGACATTAATTAAACTGTACTTTAAACATTGGACGCCCATAGCGGGTAGATTGTGAGGACTGTAATTATGTTCATGAGATCTTAATGTTCATTACATTTCACACAATAAATGAATTCTATTCTATTCTATTCTATAATAATAAATTGGTGATACCGTCATATCGAAATCTTTATGGTAAAAATAAACTAAAATATATAATACCTCATGTAATAAACATTTTTTTTACCATGTTAAGTGAAGCTACCGTTCTTTCAGTGAGCTTCGACCGTTGTTTCACTTTTTTCACTCCTCCCATCTCTTTTCTTACGCATCCAGATGCCTTTTCTTGTCAATTTAGTTATACAGAGTGTAACAGAATGGCGTAGCCATATTTTGAGATTATAATACAGTTAATGTACATATGTTTCTATTTAAGTTTCTATTTTACTTCTCACGTGCATTGCACAGATCTAGTCCTAGATTTAGCAACTGTCACACATGTAGATAATTTCATTTATTGCACTGGAAAACACAAATAACAGTACAAAAGGTACTGCTTATTTCCAAAAGAAATTTCTTCTTGCAGATCAAAATACTGGACACAATAATTATTATAACGGGTTTACGTGCGCAACGAAACAATATTAAATTATGTAATAAAATAAAAACAAGACAAATATATAGCAAACATTTTAAATTACTACAGACTACAAAATAGATTTTTACAAAAAAGATTAAAGACAATAACCGAACATTCTAATTGAATGGCCCAGTCCAAGAAGTCCCTAAGTCCACTTAGGGATTTTATGCACTGTTACCACCATTGGCGAAAACTCAACAATGTCTATGTCTAAGTCCAATGAGTTGAGTTCAAGATGAACCTAAGTCCAAGAAATCCCTAAGTCCATCTTTTTTTATATAAATGTCACTAAGTTGATACTGAAGGGTTTGAAGCTCTTGGAATATGTTTCATTTGTGTTTCATTTTCTAGATTTTTATGAAATTAATACTCAAATGGCAAAATACGCTGAAGATAAATCAGAAGAACTGGAATAAGACTTATTCTAATTCTTCTGTTTCATACTACTTAGTACCTACCTTATTTAGTTATCTAGTTTATACTGCCTAAAGTAAGGATTTATTTTTGTCATAATGAAAATCCTTAAATCCACAAAAAAGTGATTAAAATCTCAAAGTCCCGTTTAAAAAGCCCTAAGTCCTAAACATTTCATTCTAAGTCCAATCTTACGTTTGGTCATATCTTTTTGTTGAACAACCCTATATATTTGTATTAATTATAATGTCTTGTTTTTTGTTTACAACAAATTTACCTAATTTTCCATATTACAAACTTGAAAGTATCAATACTATTTATATACTATTATACTATTATTATACCTGCGTACAGTACCATGAAATTTGCCTCAACATACCGCTACCGACTCTTTCACTCTTTTGAACTCCTTCACCAAAAATCTGTAAATTTAATTGCGCAGGGTTCCGGGGTTTGTTTTTCTACTTAATTATGATATCGCGCACAACTCTGTGATTACCGATTCAAGTGACAAGAGCTCTAACAATAAAAATAGCTAATTAGTTATGTAAAGCGGGCTCTACATTCTCGTCGAGACGCCTCGGCAAATATTCTTGCAGGCTGCGACGAAACCGAGCCCCTTTATTCTCGCTTGAGACAGTTATTAGACGTCATGAAATTATCTGCCGCTACAACATTGTGCGCTACAACCTATTACAATTACTAATCAATGGAAAAGTTATAAAAAGACGTTGGAATAAACCTAGGTGGTAAATGGATGATCGTGATTAAAAATTATCGTCATTTTTTATGCAAAAATACACATGCACTTACTTTTTTTATGATACTAAGTGACAGGATGAACAAGTCGTGCGCCTGATGTTAAGTGCCACGCCTGTCCATAGCAGTTGCAGTGCCAGTCAGAGCTTGAGAGACACTGTGTAACACCATGTGCCTGTAACTTCACCCTTACGCTTCAAAACCGGAACACAGTAATGGTCATATTACTGCCGAGCGGCAGATATAGGTAAGGTGGCAGGACGAACCCTTTCACAAGGATCTCTACTACTATTACTTCTGGGACTGCCGGCTGACTGGACCTAATGTATATAAAGGAATATAATTGTTTTGCGTAGACATGTAACTGATCTTCTTGACACTTACCTACAAGAAATTAAGAGTATACGTATATATATACACGAGACACGAACATGGACGAATACTTCCTCTACAGTCTCGTATTCATCAAGTCTCGTGTAGTGTTATTGAGAATGTGTGGCGCGCTTAACATGAAAACGGAATTGTTAATTATTGCAATTTCACTTTCATCAAATCGAGAGTTATCCACAGAGAAATGAAAGATAATTTGCTGCCAAATAAATTATGATTTTGAAGTATTCGTTGACATAGTGTTGAGTCATATAAAATTTCCTTCTTGAAAAAATCGTATGTTTCAGAAAAGTAAATATTTTTCCTTTATTTTTCCACATTGAACGTCGACACTAGAAAAAAAGTGGAAATTACTGAACGAAACCGATGAAGCCTTTACAAAAGTTTTTTTTCGCTGTTGTTAAACTATTTTAAATCTCGTTTTTCTCTATGTGGCTTTTAACCCACGCTAAATAAAACTTCAAAAGATTTTCCAAACGTAGTCCATAATATGAGCCTTCGAAATTATATTTTTCCAGTTTTCCGGGAATATCGCCGGAAAAATTTTCGCTATTTGATACTTTTCGGAAAATTACCCAACAGTACGTTGACAAAAACTGTCGAATAATGAAGAATAATTGTTGTTTGCAGGTGAGCTGGTCCCCAATGATATCGTGCTGGAGCTACTGAAAGATGCTATTCTAAAAAACACGGCTACGTCGAACGGCTTCCTCATCGATGGCTATCCTCGCGAGGAATCCCAGGGTCAAGCCTTCGAGAAGAGCATTGCTCCAGTGTCCGTAAGTTAATACTTGTAAACAAGCATCATAAGCAAGTCAGGCTTGTTCTCGATTGTTTTTTGGGTAAAGTGTAAGCTAGGAGAAGAGTGGGTGTAGTATTTTATAGGCGTTCATTTTTTCCATCAGTAGCTGTCGAAATTGAAAGCTAAATTCGATTATAATCAGTTTTGTAGCGTATAGATATTTCTAACATAATTACTCATAACTCGCATGTGTAGTTGCTGCTAAAAATTGTAATTATTTGTTTAGTGAACTCTTTCAATGGGACTTGTCACTATGTCTCGGGGTGACAGGCGCAGTGGTAGTGCCCCTCAGATCTTAGCGATTTGAAGCTCTGAGCGGCTCTACAACTGTTGTGGACAGGCATGTAGCTTACCACCACACACAACTTGCTCGTCCCGTCACTTGTTATTATAAAAAAATATGGTTTCAATTGGCTATGCCATACGCTGAAAGAAAACAAAATCAATTGAGTCGTGTCATTACATCGCTCAGTTAAGGTGAGTTTGAAAAAAATTCCAGATAATACTGTACTTCGAGGCGACCCCGGAGACGCTGACAAAGCGGTTGCTCGGCCGCGCGGTGTCCTCCGGTCGTTCTGATGACAACGAGGACACAATCAAGCTGCGTCTCAAAACCTTCTTAGAGAACAACGACAAAGTGCTGGCGCAGTACCCCGACAAGCTCGTGAGGGTAAGATACACAATACGTACA